GGGGGGCAGGTGCATCGTAGGCTCGCTCAGCTAGTCCGCAACCGAGCTGCCGGCACACGACTTGTGCCCCGCGCAGGTCCCAAGCATCATCCAACACACGGCCCCACACGTCACCCAGGAAGATCTCCACACGGCCATCACAGTGACTCTGTCCGTCCCTCAGCCTCAGGGCATGGGGGCGTCCTGGGAAAGAAATTGTCCTGCTGTCTCTCCTTCCCTTCGAGCTGCCTTTCTTCTTCCCCTCAAGTCTTCTTGTCCCTTTCTCCTCTTCTATCCAAAATCTCTTCTTTCCCCCACCAATTCTCCCACCTGCCACTTCTTCCCAGCCTGCCTTACCAACCCAGCTTTTAACATATGTGTGACGTATCTATTATCCACCCTGAATAACCTCCTGTCTTGCCGACTGCCTAGCCCTGTGTCCACCCGACTGCCCATCTCACACTCTGCATGCAATGCACCCACCTGAGCAGATGGCAGAGGCCATGTTTCCTTGGGCACAGGCCGGGGCCCCCAGGGTGCTTGCTGGGCAGCTCAACAAATGGGGCTCTGTCCCCACGCAGTGAAACACATCTGGCCAGATGGGACCTTCTCCTTCCCCAAAATGCCCTCCTTGGGGTATGGCCACCACATTGCCACAGTTGAGTTGGTGACAGAGGACTGTGGCGTCTGCCAAGTCCCAGTGGGTGGCACAGACGGGTGCCCAGGTTCCCTGCACATGGACCTCCACATGTCCCTCACAGCTGTTGCTGCCGTTGACCAGCCGGCACTCTGGAGGAGAGGAGGAGTCACTGTGGTTCCCAGGCCCTGTAGACACTGCTGCACTTGTCCTTAATGTGAGCCTCGTTAAACACAGACCTCATCTCAGACTTGGGAGGGGCAGACTGAGGGCAAGACAATATGGTAGAAGTAAGTTATTCCTTACGAGTGATAACTTTGAATACAAATGATTAATTTCTGATCAGCAGGAGGGTGTCCTACCCTCACTCTGGAACTAGAAGTAGGTGGGGAAGGGGCAGGAAATTCAGACAGGCCCCGAAATGGGGGAAGCCAAAGCAGGGAGGAAGAAGCAATGGGAGGAAATTTGAACCGTGCCCAAAACCCCTCCACCTTTGTGCTGTCAGCAGCCCTAGGCTGAGGGAGCACCAATATGTTTAGGTTCCAGAGAATTGCAATTATGGCACTAAACATGGTCTTCAGAGTTCTCCTGCCAAATGTTCACCATCAGCACTGCCTACGAGGCCCTAGAAACTCCCCACCTCTGAAACCCTACCCTGCAGCCCAGATCCAACACCAAGAACCCTCCGTAATGACTTACTTTCCCCTGAGCATGTGAGTCCAGCATCCTGGCTGTGTCCGCACTGGTGCCCAGGCTCCCGTGGGCAGTAGAACAGCAGGGACTCATTGCCCATACAGCGGAAGGCTTCATTCCACACAATCCCGGAGCCCTGGCTGAAGTGGGCGCCCCCATGCATGGACACAGCCACACCACATCGAAGCTCCCGGCATACCACGTGTGCAGTGGTCAAGTCCAGGTTGGAGTCACAGATGGTGCCCCAGGTCAGGCCCTGCCTCACCTCCAGGCGTCCAGTGCAAGGGTGAGCACCACCCACCAGCCGGGCCTCTATGTGTCCTAGGGGCAGAGGCTGAACTGTAGCCACCTTAGAATAGGACAGGCTCCATGCAGGCCTTTGTGTAAAATGTCCGATCACTGGCCTCTGATTGCGCAGAGATGGACAGTATGGAGGACCTGGGACCCACTGGCCTGGCCCAGCCCCAGAGAATAGCTGCCTGAGAGGAAGTGCGAGGGTCTTCAGGATGAGGAACCTCACACGCCCCCTCAGGGGGCTTTGTCTCCCACACTGATTCTGGTAGCAAATGGTTATTCCTGGCCCTTTCCCCTCTAGAGAGACACAAGCTGCCTGAAACCCCACAGCAGGGGTAGACTAGCATAACCCACTCAGCCTCTCACCCCAGGGCACAGCTGCATAACAACCCTGGGCATCACAGTGCTACAGGCACTGCCCAATGGGGACATTTCCACAGCCTCCCGGACCACCGCATAGTGGAAATAATTGTGTTAACCATCATGTACTGGAGAGGGGAGGCTTTGATTCATGCTATTGGCTGTGTGGGACGTGTCATAATCTTTTTTGTTCATATAAGAAAACTGAGGCCTCCAAAAATGCTCGAGGCTGGGGCATTCCTACCTGAGCACACTACTTCAGTGTATGTTGAAAGGTCACACTGCTCTAGAAAGTTCATGTTGATCTTACAGTTGAAAATACTGGATTCTGTTCCCTGGCAGCTTACAAACTTCTGCCAGTGGTCCTCACGGTCCATTCCAGGGTAGACGCTGGACCATTGCAAAGCAGTGCCACATCCCAGCTCTGTGCAGAAGACAGTCGCCTCCTCCTTGTACAATTCACATCTCAAGACAAAACCAGCTGGATTCACCACCTCGGGAATACCAGCACAGGGGCTGCCACCACCTCCTAGCCCAATTTGTTGCAAGGTACCACCTGGTAACAGAGAAGAAAAATAAAATCCTCTGAGCCTATGCCCATGGCACACATGGAAGGTCTGAGCACCCTGGACTGATCCGTCATCAGTGCAGCCTCTTGCAGTTAACTATTCTGTGCAGGTTTCCTCATGCATGCCCTGGAGTGAGAGAACTCTCTCCACCAGATTGCTAGATAGCGGCCTTTGTGTGTACAGAACAGAGTGTCCACTGTGGGAGTCCGAGTATGGGCACCTGCTGCAAGCACGTGGGTGAGAAACTATCACTGTGACAATACCATGCTCTCTACACAGCTAGGGGATATGGGGACATTCAGAGGGATGGGAAGGTAAGCACCAAGCCTGTAAAAGACAGAAAAGGAAAACGTCAAACTATCACCTCATCATCCTGCAGCAGAAGGTAACCTGAGGCTCCTAAGGGGACAGGTCTCCCACACCTAAGCCAGGCCCTTCCTCCCTTCATTAGGGTTTGCCCCAGTGCCTCCAAAGCCTGATTAGGGAGAGAGGGTCCTGGGGACTAGGGAGGCTCGGGGTCCCTGTTTGACCCACCTGAACAGGTCATCACCACCACGCACCGGCATTCACAGCTGCTCTGATACTCCCAGGCCCCCAAAGAGCATTCCCAGAGAGAGGCCTCATCACCATGGCAGTGGACACCATTCAGCCAGGGCACCTCCAGCTCCCGGGACCTCACAACATATTTGAGGGATGAAAACACAGGGCCACAATCAAGCTGTCTGCAGGTCACCGATGCTGCCTTCATGTCCCAATGGTCTGCGCACATGGGGCCCTTCTGCTTGAGGTACTGCACCTGCAGGAGTCCTTCACAGTGGTTTCTGGCTCCTAGGAGACTCAGAGACTCCTCCCCAGATGGACCTTCAGGGTCAGGAACACAAGATGGAGAAAGATGATTCTAGGAATTTCATTCTGAATTTTCAAGGATTAAGAAGTTTAGCCTCATTAGTATTTTTTAAACATTTTTTCTTTATCTTTATTATTATTTATACATTCAATCACTGTATATCATTTAGATTGTAAAGAGATTTTACCCAGCATGATATACACCTCAGTCCAGCCCAGTTGAGAATACTATATATGTACTGATCACAGATAGTAAACCATATCTTTTTTAAATTTTTTCAATGCCAGAGGGCACATGTGTTCAAGTGGAGAAATCAACTCCTCTCCTCACATACACTCAGAACCTGATCATGCCATAATCCATTTTTTTTACAATTCTTAATCTTGTCTGTATCATGGACATGCTTAAGAATGCGGTGAGCAGTGAGTTTTCATGCTATCAAGTCTAGAACATGAACTCTGGTCAGTCACATGGTATACAGCTTCCTCTGTACAACGCTTAACCATTACACAACAGGGTCATTCTCATAGATTTATTGTTAACCCAATTGCTCACCTTTATCTCAAAATACTCTACCATTAATACTGTACATTTTGATATAGTCAAAATGGCTCCTTTAAGGAAGTAAAAGTTAAGAAAAAATGTGCATAAAGAAATCAGGTAACCCAGCATAATCAGTGTTAAGTAATCTCCGACCCATCCCAACCCTGAATGTCTTGTGTGATAGTGGCTTTGTTCACCAGGACCAGAGACAGCAACACACACTCACCAGGAAGGAGGGTCCAGCAGACCAGGAATAGCAGCAACAGCCCTAGAGGGGACAATGCCATGCTTGGTCGCATCTGCTGCTATAACACCCCAGGCTGAAGATCTCAGGACAGGCGTGTGTGCTCTGCTCCCTTACGGAAGCTGGACTCTAACTCTGTGGTAAAGACACACTGAGAAGGAAGCCCATGAGCACTCTCACCACTTCTCTTCATATCAGAGCCAACATCTGTCGCCCTGAGCAGGTGTTCACCCTTCTTGCCTGAGCTCAGACAGTACCAGGAGCATTTGGCAGGACCAGGCTGGCCTTCCTGTAGCTGGTGCCAGATGTGAAACAACAGAAAAGAGCCCATTCTCAGCAAGGCCCCAATGACTGTGGTGTCAGGTCCAGCAGGAAAACGATGGCCTTCCCCTGCCCACACTCAGGATATGGCCAAAGATCTAGGGCTGGTCCACACTCAGTTGTGTCCTGAATAGACAGACTTAGCAATTCAATCAAAATCATTAAAAATGTGCGTGCCCTATATCTAGAATCTAGGAGGTAGGCCTCCTTATACAGATGTGTGTCATTAGGAAAACCACCTAATGTTCAAGTCAACTAGAGTAGGTTGGTTAAATAAACTAAGGAATGTCTATATAATGGGATACTAGTCAGCAATTACAATTAGGGCAAAACAGTTTCATTGACTGAAACTGATGGACAAGGGGAAAATTCATAAGAAAACATAGAATTCACACTATGATACAATTTGTAAATGGTGCTCATATTTATGCATCTATGCAAAAATGCTCTCATTATATATATTCCATAAAGTTGAGAATGATCATTTCTGGGAAGTAGAATATGAGCTGATTTTTCACTTTCTTCTTGTGCATTGTCTATACATTTTAAAGATTCTAAAATGAGGGCCCAGCAGGTGACATAGTGGTTAAAGAATTGCACTTGCACATGGCCAATGGCGGTTTGAGTCCAGGACCCCGTAGCTTGAAACTCAAGTTGGATGTGTGTGCGTGCATGCCCAAAATCCTGAGAGGAGAATGGAGGAAAAGGGAATGCAGCATGGCCATCCCCTCTGAGGGGGTGGGGGAGGTGGTGTGATTTCTCACTTTCTATTTCTGTCACACTCTGTCTTTTGGGCAAGCGCATGTACCCTATAGCAATAATCTCTCAAAATAAAAAAAAAGAAAAGAAAGAAAGAAAAGAAAAGAAAAGAAAAGAAAAGAAAAGAAAAGAAAAGAAAAGAAAAGAAAAGAAAAAAGAAAAGAAAAGAAAAAAGTTTATAAAATGAACATACAATCTTTTTTTTTGAGAGAGAGATTTTTTTCACTATAGGGCGCATGCGCTCGCCAGACAGACAGAAAGAGACATAGAGAAAGAAAGCGAGAAATCACCCCCCAGGGGGGATGGTTACACTGCAATCCTTTCTCCTCCATTCTCCTCTCGGGATCTTGGGCATGCACGCACACGTGCCTGGCGTGAGTTTTAAGCCACCGAGTCTGGGACGCGAACTGCGGTCAACTACGTGGGAGTCCAGTGACATAGCCATTACTGCTGGTTCCCCGAACATACAATCTTGTAAACAAAATAATTTCAGTAAATCAAAATGTACCCAGTAATAGCTACTTAATTTGTGGGGGCCAGAGCAAAATTAAAATTCAGAATGTCTTCACAAATTTAGGTGGTAACATAGAATATTAAACCAAATAGGAGGCCCTGAGGGCACAGACTCTGAAACTCACATAGATAGACCTGAATTGTCTGCTTAGGAAGCAGATGTGGTATGAAGGCATGCAGGCCAAATATGGAAGAATCAAGGTTCTCTTGAATGTGAAGGAAGTTTAATCACAAAAAGAGACCCTAACCACACCTACCACCCTTGTGCCCACCTCAGCCATAGCTCGGCCCCAACCGTTGGCTAGAGCCAATCCCTAAGGCACAAAAGTCATCTCTCATGGGACCCTAGAAGGGCACTCTATCTACCAAATGTCTATGGAATTTGCTGCAAATTCAACCAACAATTGAAAGACATTTGGAAAAACTTCCTGAATTTAATTGAAAGGAGGAGCTGAAGACACTCATACTCAGGATGAAGTTGAAGGGAAGCTTCTGATACTTTCAGAGATATGAGGAGAGAATCAGCCTAGGGAGGAAAAGGGACAATGGACACTGAGGCCTGTAGCCTTCAACTAGGAAGATGAATGGAAAGAGAGCCAGAGAACAGGACAGAGGGAGTTAATCTCTTCAGCTCTTTGAGTTCCCAGAGGACCTTTGGCCTTTGAGCTGGGCTGGCCTTGTCCTGATCACCAGCTTGCACATTGTTCTCCCCAAGTCTTGACCATCAACATCACATTGGCCAGTGACTACCTGTCCACAGAGGTTTGCACTTTAGCACAACTTGGGTGATCTAAAATCTTGTCTGACTTCCAAGCTACCAAGAATAGACTAAAAGGCAGCAGCACCATTACACTTGCAGTGTGGTCAATCCACCATGAGAGCCCAGCTCCATCAGGTTGCTGTAAAAGTCTGTTCAGCACTAGTAAACCATGAAGTGTTCATTCTCCACCAGGACATCATGAGGGTTCATTGTCCATTAGGGTACTATGTGAGTCCATGCTCCATCAAGTCACCATGAGGTTTCTTTCTCCAATAGGACACTATGAAGGTCCATTCTCTACCAGGTCACTATGACAGTCCATTCTCCATCAAAGTTTCACTCATTGGAAAACCTATCTTATATCCACACAGGGAAGAGGATTCCATAAAATTTATTTCCCAGAGAGGATGTAGTCTCAGAGATACCATGAATGTGTATGGTTATAGTTGATCATGGTGGATGTGCTCATACAGAGTAGTAGTGAGAAGCTATGGTTGTGGATGAATGTGGTCATGGTTTCATGAGAAAAAGTAGTCACAGGTGGGTCTGGTCATATAGGGTATAGTTATGAATAAGAGTGTTCAGGGAGGGCTGATCTGTGAAGGGTAGTCACCAATATATTGGTCACATCATTGGCATACAGTATATGCTGGGATCAACACCAGATCATCTTATACATTTAGAGATTCTGGTTGATAAATCTCTCACTTAATAAAAACAAAACCTGTCCAAAGAGTAAAGGAAGGGTTGCCACAAGTGTCTCCATGGCAACTCATTTCCATACTTCAGGAGAACCAGGTGGGCAACAGGCCTTGAGTGAGCACAGGGTTGGGCTGAAAACACACAAATCCATGTCAAACCAGAGGACAAATGGCTGGGGTGAGGAACAGAAGTGGGGCCCAGACCAGAACCTGGGCTGTGGTGATGTCTGATAAATGTTTCTGAGACAAATGAATGACGAATGCTTGAATTCAAAGGAAGTTTAATAACATGTATTTTAAGAATTAAGACAATGAAGACCCCCCATTATCCCACCCTCTGGACACACTGATGTCTTCGACAGTCAACTCAGTGACATCACAAGCCAGGAGAGGGGCTGCCATGGTCTTCCATCTCTTTCTAAGTTTCAGGGCCAAGGCTGCAAGGAGCCCCACCTGTATTTAAGGAGAGAGATACACGCTGGGGTCCTCAGTGATTTCTCAGAGCACCAGAAGGTCTCACTTCTTTGTTTCAAGCAAAGGCACAGAAGGACAAAGATTGGTCAACATAGGTCAGTGAGAGGGAAGGACCCTGAGTCCTTCCCCAGTCCTCTCTGCTCAGGACATGACCTACAACTTGCCAGAAGACTGTGTTGATAATACACTGTGCATGACTAGAAAGAAATTCATCACAGGCCTAGTTATGGTGGCACAAACAATACTTTCATGGAAGATGTGGATCTAGTTCCCAGACCAACCTGAACAGATCAGCATAGTGGTGCCTGACTATAATCTTAGTTAACGGGCAGGAAGAGTGTGACACAGGGAACCCAAAAAAACTATCTTTCTGGATATCTCTACCCTTTTTCCCTCCTTCTTGCATTAAGAAAGGAAGGATGTGGGACCAGCAGTTAGCATAATGGCTATGTCGCTGGACTCCCAAGTAGTTGACCGTGGTTCGAGTCCTAAACCCAGTGGCTTAAACTAATGCCAGGCCCATGTGCATGCATGCCCAATATCCCGAGAGGAGAATGGAGCAGAAGGGATTGTGGCGTGGCCATCCCTCCACGGGGCTGATTTCTCACTTTCTGTCTCTCTGTCTTTCTGGCAAGTACACGTGCCCTATAGCAAAAGACCTCACCAAAAAAAAAAAAAAAGAAAGAAAGACAGAAGA